GGGGGACCCCGCACTGCGCTCCTGCTGAGGAGAGGAGAGGACAGGGAGGAAGCAAAGGCGACCAGAGCAGGCGGTGATCATCTGCCGAGTGGGGTAATCATCTGAGGGGTTCACTGCACTTCTCTCACTGTTCACTCAGCACAGAAGTCTGCCATGCAGCAGACTCTGGAACCCCTACACTGCCTCTCCTCTGGGGTGCCCATTTCCACAGAGACGCAGGCACACAGGAGCCTGACCCCGCTGCCAGGTTAAAGTCGGGGAGCAGAGGTGGGGGGAGCCAAGGGCATGGTATCAGTGCTGCTTCGCTACAGTGCTGTGAGCAGAAGCCCCGCTTCCTGGCACAGTCCAGCTCCCCCTGACCAGGGCAAGGTGAGGCCGGACCCCATGGTCAGAAACCCTGTCGGGTTTCTCCAAGACAAGCCCCCAGGGCTGGCCTCGGGGTGCAGTCTGCCCGCCGTTCCGCAGGGCGCCCCACTCACCAGGGTCCGGCCCCTGGGGGCCTCCTGCCTCTCTCTCGCTCCCCTCCTGGCCCCACGGGCCTTCGGGACAAGGCTGCTCTCCCCTCTCCATGCGGGCAAGGATATCCGGCTTGCAGATGGCATAATCTGGAGCAGAGGGGCACGGAGCGCTGCGTCAGGAACGGCACCTGCCGCCGGCCCTGCCCCCGCCCCTGCAGAGGCGCCCGCGGGAGCAGAGCCAACGCCAAGGAGTGGCGGCAGGAGGCGCCCCGCGCCTCACCCAGGGAGACCAGCGTCTCGTAGTTGCCGCGCATCACGTGCTTGTACAGCTCCTTCTGCCACTCGTCCAGGCTCCCCCACTCCTGCTCCGAGAAATACACGGCCACGTCATCGAAGGTCACGGGCACCTGGAACCACAAGCGTCAGGCGAGCTCACCCCCGCACCGCCAGGCGCGTCCCCGCCCCAGCCCCGTGCCCCGATCTACCCTGGGGGTCTCCCCCTTGCTGCCGGGGGGCAGCCGCAGGATCCAGAAGTTCCTGTTCCTCAGCAGGTTCTCCATGTTCTCCAGCCGGCGCTGCAGCAGCCCGTACTCCTGCAGCAGCGTCCCCAGCACGGCCCACTTGCCCTCCAGCTGGTTCCCGAACTCCGCGGCCGTCTTCTCGCAGTCGGCCAGCTTCTTCTCGGCCGTGCCCGTCCGCCCCTCCAGGCTCTGCAGCCGCGCGGCCTGGGCCTCCATCTTCTTCTCCACGGCCTGAACGGCAGCCACCACGGTCCAGAGGGAGATCTCTGTGGTCTGGAAATAGGAGCTTTTCTCTGTAGCGTGTGAGGGCAGCGTGGAAGGAGCCAGGGGGGGCGCACGGCGCTTCCTCCTGTGCTGAAACATCAGACAGGGCGTCAGCCAGCCGGCCTCCCTCCAAACATCAGGACGACACGCGGGCCCGTGTTTAGAGCCACCCAGTTTTTACTGCCTTTTTTCAAGGAAAATGCCTGTTAGTTTGTATTCTGATACTACGAGACAGTAAGGAAGTGCCGAAAACTAGCAAAAGAAAAAATGATGTCAAATGCACAACCCAGAAAGAAGCTGTTAGAACTCCAGCGTCCTTCCCATCAGCTTTTCTTGTCTTTCATTTCTTTTAAACAAAACTGAAGTCATGGTGCACATGTTTTGTCACCTGCTTTCACACTCAGCCTCAGGAAGGCTTTCCTGTGTCACTTCATTCTCTCAGCCAGTTTCTCTTTTTGACCCATGACAGAGACGTAATGACACGTGCCCCAGCGCCCACCTCTCACTGGACTTCACAGCCTATCACACCACCCTGCTGGAATCTTTCATCGGCACCTCAGACAAAGACAAAGCCCTTGGGGGGACCCCCAGGTCTTCCGCACTCACCCTGCCCAGAGTGACTGGGCCGACAGCTTACACTTCTCATGTCAGTGTCCCTGAGGGCAGGAAAGTCACTGTGGCCAAAACTCAAAATAATACGGTTTTCTCAAATTTATGTATGCATACAAGAACTGGGCACAGGCCAGAGGGGTGAGAGGATTCATCAGAGACGGTGGGGACCAGAAAAGGTGGGCTGACTGAGGTGCACTGAGGGGAGCAGCGGGGAGACAGGTGGGGTCCACTGCGCCCTCTGGGTCCCTCCCTGGCTGGGGATCGAACTCGTGCTTCGGTGGCTGCTGACAGCTTCACAGTGCTGACACTTAACCCCTTGTGCCATCAGGGAGGCCCCCTGTCTTAAGGTACTTGAAAGTATGGATTCTGTAACTTCTAGGGTAGCTGTTGAAAGACTGGAACTTGGTTCTGTAACTTAAAAATTAAACGGAGAAATAAGACAATAAGAAAAATATCTAAAGGAAGTCAAGAAAGAAAAAGATGGAGTAAATAGCACCAACAAGATAAAGAATAAAAGTAGATCAGCAATAAACATAAATAATTAAATACCTTAGTTAAAAAGTAAAGAAATGTCAGGGTATGGAAAACGCAGCTATGTGATTTCGTAGGTGTTGGCTATAAAAGACTGTGAAAACATGTACCCAGGCTACTACTAGCCAAAAGAAAATTGGCTTAGTTATGTTAATATTGCTAGAAATAGACAGTTGCTACTATCTCTGTAATGGTACAAGAGCCCTTTACTAGCTTACGTTTCTAATAATGTGTGCCTTATGACAAAGGTTCAAGTACGTAAAGAAAAATGGACTGAACTATATAGAAAATTCACTATCACAGGAGACTAACATAGCCTTAGTATTTTCTCAAGCAGAAACATAGTTTTTTAAAAAAAGGTTCATTTCCTTATGCACACAAGAACTAGGGTAAGGCCAGAAGCACGGGGCTATTCAGTAAAGTAATGCCTAGGCAATATGGTTAGGTACTTGGGCACTTGAAAATTATCTAGAAAGGCCAAGAAGTTGAAATTTCAATTTCACGGGCATTTGAATTACTTTCATCATGACAGGTAATTCACAGAAGAGAAGAAGGAACTTGGTTAACTAGCTTTCAGTGTCATCACTATGTGGAAGAGTTGAGGTTATTCCTCTGTTCAGATCTCACCCACCTTCCCGATCTGACAAGCAACAGAGAACCAGGAAGGAGCAGGCTCCCAAGCACTGGAGACCCGAGCACAGAGCACATGACGAAAGAACTTTGTTCAGTAACCTGACATTTTCTTTCATTCGTATTTATCTTTCACGTTAGGTTTTTCTTTAGATCTTTTGTAGGGGATGTTTAAGTTTGGGGCCCCATCTATGTATGGGCCCATGTATGGCGTATTTACGGATACACCCCACAAGGAACCAACTGAGTTGAGAAATGAGTGTCAAGGCCAAACTCAAGCATTCACGACTGTGCAGGTCACTCCTGTTGTCCCTTTTCTCCAGACCATGACCCTTGACCCAGCAGTTCTTCCAAAAGTATTTCCTCTCAGTGTCTCGGTCTCAGTGTCCTTCCCAGAAAAGTGACCTTGAGTAAAGTGCGTGCCCATGCTGCAGAATAGGGCACTGGGGGGTGGGTGCTGGGGCCCTGAGATGGACAGGCGGCTAACAGAGAGGCCCCAGAGCAGCAACGGGGATGATGTCTTGTGTGGTGGCTGCAGGCAGCTTCACAGCGCTGAGCTTTAACCCCTGCCCACCAGGGAGGCCCCTAGCGTCATTCTAGCTGTTGACAAAACTGGGTCCCCTCAGTCTTAAGGTAGTTCACCTGAAGGCAACTGACTATTAAGTGTCCACAGGTTTGTTTTTGTGTATCCTGATTGGGATCACTGGGTTTCTATGTATTAACATATTTTCTACGTGACCCCACCACTAAACATGCGTAATAAAACAAATATTCAACAGATGTGGTCTAAAGTACAGACTGCGTTTCCCTTCCGAAATTTCAATAGGCTTCTCTCTGAAACTTCGGTATCTAAATCTCTGAAGACAGCAATTTTGCTGTCCATTATTTCTTCTGGCTTTTCCTCACAGCTTTTCATTGCTTGATTGGTAACTGTTTTATGATGCACTCACTTCTCTTGAAATTTTACCTAAGATTTATTTGAACTCTTATCTCTCTCTCTCTCTTTTTAAAGATTTATCCACTTATGCACACAAGTGGATATGCCCCATGCCTCTCGGGCATAGACCAGAGGCCTGGGACTGAGAGGACCCATCAGAGACAAGGCAGGGAGCAGAACAGGCAGATCAACCAAAGCACTGCCAGGAAGAGCATTGGGGAGACAGGAGGGGTCTGCTGCGCCCTGCGGGTCACTCCCTGGCCGGGAACTGAACTCGTGCTGCAGCGGCCACCAACAGACCCCAACCTGGCGCCACTAGGGAGGCCCTAATCTCTTAAGAGTTCTTCCACTCGGTTTTTGGGTTCTAAGTATTCTTTACTAATATACATTATAAATATATTTGTGTTTTCTCCCAAAATTTTTAGTTGTTTTCATAAGAGTACCTCTTTGGCCGTATCTGGAAATGAGATTTGGATCTCATCTGAAGAGACAGAACAGAAAGGCACTCAAGGATGATGCAGTGACACACTAAGTTACTTAAACTCTAGGGCCCTCCCTGGTGACGCAAGGGGTTAAGGCGCGGCACTCCGAAGCTGTCTGTAGCACCTTCAGCAGTTCAATCCCCAGCCAGAGGGGTGACCCACATGGGGCAACAGACCTCTCCTGTCTCCCTGCTGCTCCCTCAGCAGTGTGTTTTCCTTCAATCTGCCTGTTCTGCTCCCCACTCTGTCTCTGCTGAATCCTCTCACCACCACCCCTGTACCTGTGGCCTGTACCTCAGTTCTGTGTGCATTAGTAAATATTTTCTAAAAACAGTTACTTAAGGGCCCTACCTAGAGGTGCAGCGGGTTAAAGCGCAGCACTAAGAAGCTAAAGCCACTTCAGCATGAGTTCGATCCCCCAGGGCGTGGCAGACCTCTCCTGGCCGGCTGGCTGCTCCCCTCAGCAGTGGACTTAAGCAGTCTGCCTCTTCTGCTCCCCACTCTTTCTCTGGTGAATCCTCTCACCGCCCCCACACCTCTGGCCTGTACCCCGGTTCTGTATGCACAAATAAATAAATCCTTAAAACAACAAAAAAAATTTACTTAGACTATAGCTCTGGCCTTTGGAGGACTTTCAAGACTTCCTCTAACAAGCCTGTTGAGGACATGCAGGTAACTGCACACTGGCCAGTCAGTAACTGTACACCACCTCTTCCTCCCCCCACACATCTGGATTTGCCGGATCAGCCCAGCTCAAGGGACTCGGCAGAGAGGTTAAGTGTAAACACGTGTGCGAGTCTCACTCATCAACTGTAACTGCCGGGAAAGCCAGCATTTGGGTTCTGTCTTCCATCTCTTCCCCTCTTAGTTCTTTCCACACCTACTCTCTAAGAAAACCAAATATGCGCCCTGCTCACAATCAAGGTTCACCTCACAATCTCCTTCGCCCTCAGTTCTCACAGAGATCTCACACGGCTCTGAAAGTGCTTCTGGGCCAAGAAATGCGGCGCTAAAACCCAACTAAATTTCACCGGCCCTTTACAGAGCAAATCCTCTTGTATTATCAAATTAACCTCGACTCCTGGATATCAGACGGCTGTATCGCATTCCGGAAGGAACCTTGGACCAGCCAGCAACTAATCCAACACGGCGAGCTCGCAGCTGAGGAACCGGAGTCCCGGCGGGGCTGGAGTTGCCTAAAAACCACTCCGCTGGAGAGCTGCGAGCGAGTCCGAGCGGAAACACCCATTCTCTGAGTCCTTACCCAGGCTCTCCCCCGCGCCAAGATCAGCATCTCCAAGTCCCTGGCTAAGTGGGGAGAACTGGGTGGCAGGGACAGGGCAGCTTCCCCGGAACCCCCGACTGCACCGCGAAAAAGCACCTGTCTCCAAGAAGAGCCAGCCGCCCTGCCTTCAGCCTGCAGCTGCGACCCCGGCCCCGAAGCCGGCAGCAGAAGGGTAGAAAGAGCGAGCAAAACGCCTCCCCCGTCAGGGAGCTGACCGGCCGGGGGTCCCCGCAGCGCCCGCGAGCTCACCCGCAGGCTGGGGCCCCAGGGTCTCCAGGCGGGCTACCTCTCCAGCCGGGAAACGGGGTCTCTGGCGCAACCGGGAGGACGCTTGGGACGCTCGCAAATCCAGGACAAGCCTCAGAGCTCCCCGGCGGAGACGC